CCAACTCATCGAATGAACTTTCTATGTTACAGGTGGTAAGCATCAAGTCCAGGCCCAGGCACATCCCTTTGGAGAAGCAGCAGCATCACTTCCTATTTTACTACGACTGTATCATACAAATGAAATAAATAGCAGCATTACTGTCAAAGTTTACTCATGATTTGCCTCCAGTTCCGCACTAAAATAAAAACACGACTATATATTTTAGGCTCAAGTAATAAGCCGTAAATATGGAATGAGAATAAGCAGTAAAGAAATGACAAGTAACCCCCAAATAGGAACAATACGAAAATAAACTTTTACCAAACATGACTACCATAAATGTACTGGTAATTTATGTTAACATCACATTGAAAGTAAGAACTTACCAGATTGATTCATTCCTGCAATCATGGGAAAAGGAGCGATTCCTCCTCCTGTGTGCTCCAACTCCAACTCAGCATACAGCAGGTGACACATAGGCTGCTTTGCTAATGTCCAAGTCAGGTGCACCTCCAGGCCGATAATCTTCCTGCAACAAACCAAAGACGCAATTTTATAGTCGAAGAAACAGGATGCAAAAGAGGCAGGAAGCATGCAATTTCGACAGAGGTGGTCAAAGTCGACTCTCCTAGACCAATTCCAATCATTTCCAGCTATTTTTATTTTTTTCATTTTTGGCCAAATTTACAAAGGCTATAGCCTTTGTGTTTTTTAGCGAAAATGGGTGGGTCCGTATTTGTCGGAAAAGTAGTCGAATCGACAGGGGTGAACCAGGGGACCACAAAACTACTTTTGGTTCCGCCAGAAACCACCCCTGTCCACAGAAACTTGAGTTTTAAGGGATGGTCTTTTGAATCTGGAGGGCAGCGTACAACGGGCTGCCTACCTAGCAGGCGAGCCGGTCCAACAAAAACAGGCGTAACTCACTTGAAATGGCCCGACGGCTTAATATTACGACGGGGAGATTGAAAGAGGATGCTGTCAAACCAATCTCGGCCATTTCCAGCTATTTTTCTTTTTTTCATTTTTGGCCAAATTTACAAAGGCTATAGCCTTCCCATTTTTAGCGAAAATTGATGGGTCCGGATTTTGACGGAAAAGTAGTCGAATGGACAGGGCTGAACCAGGGAACC